AGTTAGCCTCTTTCTCTTTCTCATTTGCATTTTGGTTTTAAAGATGGGGTCTGCTCTTTCTTGTGAATCTGTGATACTGATTATTGTTTTTCAGATTACAGACACGGGACTCCTTTGAGTATTTCTTGCAGGGCTGGTTGTGTGGTAGTAAATTCCCATAATTTTTGTTTGTCAGGGAAATACACTATTTCTCCTTTGTTTCTGATGGATATCCATGCTGAATATAGGATTCTTGGCTGGAAATTTTTTTCTTTTAGTCTTTTGAACATATCATCCCATTTTCTTCTGGCCTGTAAGGTTTCAGTTGAGAAATCTGCTGTTAGTCTGAGGGGGGCTCCCTTATAGGTGACTTGGCACTTTTCCTTGCTGCGTTTAGAATTCTCTCTTTTTCTTTGAGTTTGCCAGTTTGACTTTTGCATGCCTCAGAGAGGATCTTTTTGGACTGAATCTGTTTGGGGATTTTGGGGCTTCTTGTATCTGAAAGTCTGCATCTCTCTCTATACCTGGGAAGTTTTTTGTTATTATNACCTCAAAAAGACCATATTTGAGTTCTGAGATTCTTTCTTCTGCTTGCTCTCTAGCCTGCTGCTCAAGCTTTCTGTTTCATTTTTGTTTCATTGAGAGAATCCTTCATTTGTAGGAGTTCTATTACATTCACTTTTAAGTTATTACTCTCTTTGTAAGCTTCCTTCTTCATATCCTGGATATTTTTTCTTATCTCATTGTGTTCTTTAGTGGATTCTTCTTTTATTTCTCAGAGTTTTCTTAAAGTCAGTGCTTAGAATTCCTTTTCAGACTTATCCAGGGTTTCTTGCTCTATGAGGTTTAGTACTCAAGAATTACCATATCACTTTGGTGGTGTCATATCTTCTTGTTTACTTGCAATTCTAGTATTTTTACACTGATGCTTGGTCCTCTGGTAAAAAAATTAATTCTTATATCACTCTGGAGTGGGTTATGAGGGGGAAGACTTTTCCTCTGTTTGTAGGTTCTGCTGGTGACTATTTTATCAATGCAGTTGAGTGTGCAGTGGGCTGCCTTGGCTCCTGTTTGGTCAGTGAGAAGGTCCTGTGTGCTCTTACTTTGGCAGCCTGAGTGGTTGTTCATTAGGTACTGTGAGCCCCTCCAGTACTCACTTGGGTTTGGGTGAGCCCTGCAGGCTGCATTGGTCCCCTGGGCATGGCACAGCTCCTGAGCTTGATTCTTTGTCTTGATGTTCCCCCCTGTTTCTCATATTACCCTTTAAATTACATAACACAGGAATGTCTCATCCCATCATCAAACCCACCCCAGGCCTCCACAACCCAGGTTAGGCCTGGGGTTACAGTCTCCCGCTTAGGCAGAAAGAAAGTGAAAACATGTACCTGGAGACACAAGAGCTTCCAGCAACTCTCAGACTACTAGGATAAGCAGAGACATCAATTTGTTAAGGAAGGTAGGGTTCTTTTGTCCAAGGAATTCCTCCAGCATAAGATCAGAAGGCTGAGCAGGAAAAGAACCCTGAAAACAGAAGGTATAATGAATTTTATTTTGCCTTCAAAGACATCCCTGATAAATGGCAAATAGTTGAGGGATACTACCAAAGAAAGTATCTCTCACCACTTCCCATCCCCAACGAAAGTTTAGAAAGCATGTTCCTTTTCTCTAGAAAGCACTCTTTACCTGCTGTTCATCTGGAAAAAGCAAACAAACAATAAGAAAGCCTCAATCTTCAACACCTCTTCTGTGAGGTTCTTAGCCAGGCCCAGAATAATGTCCTAGACACTTTCTTTTCTGTTTTGTACCTTGATTATAGAATTAACCACGGGGTATTCCTGTTAGTTGTATGTCTGTTTATTTTCTCCAGCATACTCTGCCTTCCATTCGGGTGAAGTCTTTTCTTTTTTATCTCTGCATTCCCCAACCCTAGCACAGGGTTACTCACCAAATGGCATCTGAATGAGCGAAAATGAAAAAAGGAATTGGGTCTCATCTTTTGTTCTTACCAATTGTTTTGTTTTGATCCTCTGAGTAGCTACAACCGGGAAATTGAGGAATGGAAAGAGATATTCAGAGGAGGCTCAGAGAGGCTTGAAGATCAGAAGGCTGAGCAGGAAAAGAACCCTGAAAACAGAAGGTATAATGAATTTTATTTTGCCTTCAAAGGCATCCCTGATAAAAATGGCAAATAGTTGAGGGATACTACCAAAGAAAGTATCTCTCACCACTCCCCATCCCCAACGAAAGTTTAGAAAGCATTTTCCTTTTCTCTAGAAAGCACTCTTTACCTGCTGTTCATCTGGAAAAAGCAAACAAACAATAAGAAAGCCTCAATCTTCAACACCTCTTCTGTGAGGTTCTTAGCCAGGCCCAGAATAATGTCCTAGACACTTTCTTTTCTGTTTTGTACCTTGATTATAGAATTAACCACGGGGTATTCCTGTTAGTTGTATGTCTGTTTATTTTCTCCAGCATACTCTGCCTTCCATTCGGGTGAAGTCTTTTCTTTTTTATCTCTGCATTCCCCAACCCTAGCACAGGGTTACTCACCAAATGGCATCTGAATGAGCGAAAATGAAAAAAGGAATTGGGTCTCATCTTTTGTTCTTACCAATTGTTTTGTTTTGATCCTCTGAGTAGCTACAACCGGGAAATTGAGGAATGGAAAGAGATATTCAGAGGAGGCTCAGAGAGGCTTGAAAAAAGTTGAGATACCTTAAACTTGAAGTAATGTGAGATGTATTTCCAGCTTTCCTTTTGGGCACTGGTTTGCTGAAAACCAAAGGGAAAAATAGCACTGAGAAGGTTTTTAGAAGCTAATAATACTGAGCAGGTGATAACTTGTCTCCCTTCGAGGAGTGTGTGCTGGCTCACCCACGGCTGGAGGCACAGACTCAGCATTGCTGGGATGCTCTGGCAGATTCCTTGGTTTCTCTCTGATTCTCAGAAGTGCAGACAGGACAACGTGGGTCTCTGCCTCTGCCCTATCCTGTTCCATTGCTCTCTTCCCAGTGTCCTTCCCTCTTTACATCACTGTTAAACTTCACAGGAGCTACACTCCACAACCTTGATAGAATTCTAATTAAATTCAGTCATGAAAACAGTAGCTCACTGGATGGAATTAGTGTATTTCTCATTCTTAGTATATTTCAACCAAAAAATAAAGAAATGTAAGATTAGGAACCAAAGTCAAACCCTTCAATAAATAGAGAAGTCAAAGACAAAACAACAGGTTGGAACCAGCATTGCCCCTGGTTGTGCTGAGCAAGTCAAAGCCAAGTATGGAGTTTCTAACAGAGAAGCACAGCACAGTCACCCCTCCATGGGTTCCCCTATCTACCCTCTCTTCTCCTGCACATGCTGCACTTCCACAGCCAGAGCTGTTTCCAGGTCTAAGCCCAACAGGCAGGGTTCGAATGTGATGCAGCGCACTGATACCTCTGTGTCACCCATGAGACACCCACCTCGAGTCCTA